TGTTTTGTATCTCCTCTTTTTGCATTTTTTTTTGTTTTTGTTTTTTTTTTGCTTCGCATTTTTAAGGCATTCATCATAAAGTCGTCTCGACGGGGTCTGTTGAGGGTCGGAATCGGAGTCGGAGTCCGAGTGAATCCGAAACCGAAAATCCGTAATGCCTTTGTCTTTTCGTCAACATGTCACAGCCACTAAACATCAATAAGTTGGCTTTTTATTGATTTCGTTTTTCATTTGTGAAGTTTGTCTCTGTTTTACAGCTCATCTTTGTGCAGAGTTTTTAGGGGGATTTTGTGTGTTGATTTCTTACCAATAAAAATTGGGCATTGGCCACAATTAATTAGCTTAATCTGCATTTTGCATAAATTACCAAATAATATTTTCATATTTCCCTCCTCAGCCCAATCCCAATGCAAATTTTATTGTTTTTCTCTCATTTTTTTTCTGTTTGTTTTTTTTGTGGGGCAATAAATCAAGTCTGAAGCGGCTTTTTTTTGTGGGCCACCGCCAAAGTTCTAACTGATAATTTATTTGGTCTATGGGACAGAGGTTACTTTGAATGATTTTAGCGGTGCTTTTCAAACGCTATCGAAACTTGTTTGGAGGCAGCCCCAGGTAGTCCCCCAGAGCACACCACCGGCACGGCCACCCAATAGAGGCTGAGCAACAATAATAACAATTGGACACACACGGATGGAGCAGGCAGCAGAGCAACATTGTACATTTATTTTGCCAAACGATGGATGCTTTTGGGTAATTTTTTGTGTGTGGGGGGGGGCCAACAATCGATTGGTTTGTCGTTACGGATTGTTAGCCAAGGCCAGGAAAAGGGGCCAGCAACTAGGACCGGAAGGAGCACCAGCAGTGGGACTAGGACCAGGACCAGGACCAGTACGAGCCCTAGGAGATTGGATAGAGCTCCTTAGGGGGTTGTTGATGGTCTGAGGCCTGCATGGCGCACAGCCCTAAACAATTTAGGGGCGGGTTTTTTTGGGTAGATTGTGTCTTTCTGTTTTTCTCTTCTTTTTTTTTTTGTTGGATTCCAGCAGGAGACAGGAGTTAGAATGATTTGTGGCATTTTACAATTTTATTTGCTACGTCTGCCCCTGCCATACCCCTGCCCCTGCCCCATGGCCATGCATCATTTGTAAGCCAACTAAGCGTCCTTTAAGGACTATTTTGTGGATGCACCGCCGGCGGGGCCGGGGTAAACGAACAATTTTTTTTTTAAAAAAAAAAAAAAAAAAAAAAAAAAAAAAAAAAAAATTTTTTTTTTTTTTTTTAAAAAAAAAAAAAAAAAAAAAAAAAAAAAAAAAAGGAGAGGGGGGGAAAAAGGAGGGGTGGGCCCCGAAGAGGCGCCGCGCGTTCCTTCTCGTTTTTGTTGGGTTCCCGCAGGAAGACAGGGTTGATGTTTGTGGTTTTTGCTCGCTGCCCCTGCCTCCTCCCCTGCCCCGGCCATGCATTTGTAGCCACGGGGGGCTCCTCCTGTTCGACTCTCCTCAAGACAATTTCTTTTGTGCGGTTTTGTGCCCTTCTGCCTTCCTGCCCTCTTCTGTCCTCACCAGCCCTCTACTGCCCTGCTGCCTTCTGCATTTGATGTTCATTCGAAGGGGATTTTTCACATTTACCTGCTAAAAGTGCTGCTGAGATTTTGACACGTTTCTCCCTAGAGAATGCCTCAGCCACAGAGATCGGGCAAAATTGCAGTTCGCATGCGCAACCCAAACCCAAAACCAAGAAGAGGACCAAAAACTGACCAAAAAAAAAAAACTATGTTTATCTGTGTGCAGGCCCTCTTGAGAGATCTATTGTCTCTATACGCTGTTCGTGGGGGCATAAACAAAGGTGTGATATTTGTTTCTCTTTTGTCCCTGATCGGGGCAATTGGCTCAAGTCAAGATGCATTTTTGGCTTGTCCATTGTTGCCGCCTGGAGAGGGCCAAGGCGTAGACTTCTTGTCAGCATTGTCACGCCATACAGACGTCGACGCCGCCCTGACAATTAGACAGATTCCGATATTGGACACTGGGCACTGGGCACTGGACACTGGATGCATATGGGCATTGTCAAGCCAATTATGATCAGTGTATGGTGAAAAATCTGTCGCTAGCTGACCGCTGCAGCGGTCCAGCAGCTGTTTTTTCCATACTTCAAGATGCAACTGGCACGCGCTTGGACCAGCGGATTCTTGTGTGGGATTTAGCAGACAATACGAGGAGTTAGGCGTGTAATCTACCAAAAGGTGTTTTGTTCAGCATTCAAAGGTAATCAGTAGTTGGCAGATATGGCAAGTCGGTTAGAAGTTGGGAATTAGCTTAGAGTTATCATGATTATCATGTGTAGATTGTGCGGTTTGATATTCTCTATTGATTTGGCCAATTGTTTAATTAGTAAGTGAAAAAGAAATGATTATAAATTATTACCAGCTAATTTTCAGACGGAAGAACTTTGCTTGGGAATGTTAAAAATTTATCAAAGATTTCTATAGATTTTACTAGTCAGATATAGCAGTCATAACAGAACCCTTAAATGATTATAACATGGCTCTAGCAAGAACTCTGCTTAACTTTTAAAACTGTCTGGTGGAATTTTTAAGGATTGAACTATGAAAATTCCGAATCTCTAGACAATCCCTACACTTACATCTTGCAATTTGAAACAATAATACATAAAAACTAATAGAATTACCCTTAGGCCCTCTCAACTCATGTATTCCTGCTATTTCGTATTAACTAAAGACAAACCAAAATGTATATAAATACAAATCATTTAAAAGAACTTCACTAATCCCTAAGCTAAAACCCAACTCAAATCTCCAACTTCTGGCCACAAATTAAAGAAAAACAAGCCGCCACAGATCATTCCATGAGGATCCCATCCCATATGAGAGGGAAGGCGTCAACAAGTTTTTACACAAAACTTTTGTAATATTTATGGGGATTTCTTTCTTTTTCTATTTATTTTTCTTCTTTTTTTCACTTCTTTCAATTTTCTTGTGAATTATTAATGAAAAATCATTTATTGAAATATGTATGGATGGGTATGGTATGTTGTTGTTGTTGTTGTTTTGTTGTTTTTTATAGTGGCTTTGCAGGCATTCGACATTTAAACGCTTAAATATTTATGCCTTTTTTATATCTCTTTCTCCCGACCCGATACGTACGTACTACCTAAGAGCAGGCAGAAGAAAGACCCCATCATATACATTGTTGAATATTCATAAGCAAGCGCCTAGTGGCGTCATTTTCGGATTTGTATTTGGGATTGAGATGGGGATGGGAACGGGAATGGTTATGGTTATGGGGATTGGGATTGAGCAGCCGAAAGAGCCGAGAATAACTGGGGCGGGGGTCAAGATCGATGATGTCAAGAAAAGGTCTTGGGCCAGCGGCATAGAACTGTTGACATTTGATTTTCAGGGTTCTCTAAGCCCTCAGTTTTTGTGGTTGTAAGCGGCTTCGACTTATGTCGGGATCTCCCGCTGTTCTCACACTGACAGTTATCTCGGTATTCCTCGATCCGAGATGGAAGAGTTTGCCCCGAGAATCTATAACACTTTCGGTCCAGTGGGGGCCAGAGCAATAAGCGTCAGCACCTTGTCCAATTTGCTATGGTAATGAAAATTACATTCGTCGAACAAAGCCATGGCAAATCGATCATCGGCGAGCATAAATCATGATCAATTCTCTGCAGACTCATGGCAAAATACACTCGTATTACGGTTCGTATAGTGAGTACAAGCAAAAACCCAAAAAAAAATATATATAAAAATCCTGTGGGTGGTTCACACAGCACTCACAGCGGGTGCAAAAATCGATTAAACGTTTTAGCCCCAAAAAAGAACCGGATAAAAATGAAATCTATTTTTGTTGAATGAACATTGGGAATTGAGCAACATCATCCAGGCGACACGATCAATGCAACAGCGAGAGAATATGTTTAGCTAATGTTCAACTGAATATCAACTTTTGGTGTGCCCTGGGGTTTGGGGCTTTGGTTTGGCATCCACTGCAGATGGCAGCTCACAGCTCAGATGAGCTTCAATTCACAGCCGACAAAACTTTTTGATTCACTCAAAAGTGTGGGCTGGTGCTGTGTATAATGTTAGACGATCGTCATTCCTGCGATATGCACCCCCAACTGTGCGATCTGTGTGCTTTTCATATTCACCGCGATCCGATGTGGTTTTTTTTTTTGGTCTCTGTTTTTGTAAACTCATCGTTTTCCAGCGGTTATTAGTGCGATCAGATCGCTTTGCTTTTGAAATTGAATTGGATCTCGATCGGAATCGGAATCTGTATCTGTATCTAAATTTCGAGTTTAAGATCTTTGTCTTAACGCTCCCCCACACACACACACTCACACACACATACACACACGCTGCCATATCTATCTGACTGACGCCGCCTGTTGCGTTTTCTGGCCCAAATGCTCTCAGCGGGCTAACAAACTAAACAACAAAAATCATTTTATGGGTCACTGAGACTTGTCTTGTCTTACATGTGCACCAATTAAAAAGGAAAGCAAAATCATAAGCACCGCTGGCTGTGCGGGTGGAATATGAGAGGAATATATATCCTTGAAAGAGCTTTAAATCAAGATAAATGGGAGTAATATATAGTGAGAGATTGGCATGTTCTAACACAAGTTATCTATCACTTAATTAAGGTGTCAAGCCGTGTTTAACCTTGTGCAAGCCATAGCTAAACGATTTGTGCTCATATTTAAATGACAAGTAATATAATGTAAAGTTTCCAAGTATTTTTCAAAGTTTTAAGTTATTTCTCTTCCAATCAATTGGAGGGAACTTCAGACATTTCTGCTTTACATATCAGAACTCTCAGGCATCATCAGTAATAAATGAAATTATTATGGATAACAATTTTGTTTTTACATCTCCTTTTAATTCATAAATTATGATTTACTTCAGTTATATTTCAGACATATTTCCTATGGGCATTTCAATGCTGTAATCCCCCCCAAAACTAACTGCCAAAACTCACCTTCATTTTAATTGCCTCCACAATTTTGGCGGTTTTTAATCCAAGTCTTTTGCACAAAATTCTTTAGCCAGCTTTAGTCAGGGACTGGACCTTAGCGTGTGTGGCGTCGTGTAGATCTTAGCGAGTATCAGATCTAAGGACGACTTGATCAGTGTTTGTCAAGCGTCCAACAGTTGTCACTGGCCTCATAAGATGCTGCTTATATAATATGCTGCTGCTATAAATAAAACACCGACCAATATGCTGTATCCGATGGATCAATTTGCGAGCGTTTGCAACATTTTCATTGATTAGCACATTCGTTAACAGTTCACTCTGCCGTCGGCTATATGGATGTTGGTAGTAGATGTTGCGGCTTTTCGTACTGAGCTCGCACGGGCTGGCGGAGGCGTCGGGGCACCTTATCAAGAGCGACGCGTACGCGTGTCGCGATAACACGTTAGGGCCAAGAACGACGGACGGCAATCGTGGCTCAGACGCAAAAGAGCCACCAGCCAGAACCAGAGAAATACGTTTTCAGAGCGGTATTCGTAGCGGTGCGGTGCGGAGCGGAGCGGACGCGACGTTGTTACAGCTTCGAGGCCACTGCGTAAACTGCCGGTGCTCTAGCCACACGGATCTGACGGCAGCATTGGATGTGATGTTCTGTGACGATGACGCCCGGTTTCCATATGTCCATAGCATACGGCAAACACCACCACAACACGCACACATTCACATAGAGCGCACACACCACCACTACGACCACCACTGCAGCAGCAGCAGCAGCAGCAGCTCCGAATTTCGACTCGAAAACCCGCTCAACTGGTTCTCGAGCCACAGCTGTCGGTCTCGGGGATGTTGGTGATTGGTTGCCATGACTGCCTCCGGGTCGGCGGGCAACGCCCCCTTTCGGAACGAGTTTCCGCTTGTCGTCCCCCATTTTGAGTGGTTTCGAATGGCTCTCGCATCGTATCGCACCACCAGCATCAGCAGCAGAGCACCACTGCGCGCGGCCAATTGAGTGCGCCGGCGCGTGCCGGTGCCATTGGATGGGTGGGTGTTGTTCCTGCTGCTGCTGCTGCTGCCACACTCTGTCTCAGTGGATGGAAGAAGAGTGTTATGCCCCAGTGGATGGATGAATGAATGGATGGATGGAGAGCGGAACTCGGACGCGGCCGCACTTGACTTTTTTGGGGTCAAACCGCTTGACGGGGGAGGCGGCTGCCATGCCATGCCATGCCATTTGACAGTTGTGAATGTTGTTGAATACTTTATACGTTTTTTTCGTTTTTTGGGTATTTTTTTCATTTAATGGAATGCCAGATACTCGTATGATAGTGGAGTAGAGCTTCCTGCATGGAGAACATTTAAGTTACGGCCAAATTTAATTTGGGTAACTTTTAAAAGGGGGTTAAAGGTTACATCTGGGTACGTAGTTTAGCAGAGAATAAGAGATACGATTACTATGTTTTATTGGTGCAGATAGTCGTGCACTTTAATTTCACATTCTTCTTTGCTTCCTTTTAGAAATCTTTCCTCACTCTAATGCACAATTTCCACCTTCCTACTCTTTTTTCCAGCTCCTTATCTCAGTGGAACTTTAAATAATTTCACTTCAAAATGGTTTTGATTTAAATATAAGATCAAAACTTAGTACAAGGAACCAATCGATTAGAAAATCCATTGATCTAAGCATTGAAAAATCATTTGACACTCAAAGATCAGGTTTCAAATTCCCCCAAATTATGATCTGTTGCACTTTGAATAGTTTCCGCCATTTTCCTCCAGTTTTTAATCCCCAAAAGCATTGTTAACTTGAGGCCATTCCATCAGTTAGGCTTTGTTAGGCTGGATCTGCAGGGGTTTCTCCGTATGTAGCCATCATTTTTCAGCATCTCTTGCCCGTGTACTCGATTCTGCTTTGGAGTGTGCTGCCTTTTAAAGCCGCTTGGCATTCAATTGGCATTTTGCTGTCGCCATTCGCCAGCATAGCATCTCCTCCCACTACCGCTCCATTTGCTCGGCTCTCTCCCTCTCCATCTGCCACACGATGCTGCTGCTTCTTTTTTCTTTGCGCCCTGCTCACGTTATTTAAGGATTAACATCATTTTATGCTGCCTCGCAATGCCTTTTTTGCAGGATTAAATGCTGCCGTCTGTTGGCAGTTCTCTCAGCCTCTGCCTCTGCCTGTGCCACACCACACCCCCCCCTTTCACTCCTTTGAATTGATTGCATTGCACTTTTTCCTGTGGCTGGTGTTGTTGTTGCATAGTTTGCGCTGATGCGCCGCCTCCATGGGGCAGGAGCTCCCTTTCGTTTCCCCCATTCTCGTGCGTGCTCCCTCTTTCCAGGCTACAAAGTGATTTTTATGGCTTTTCGTTGAGTCTGTATGTGTGGTGTATCTGTGTGTGTATGCAAATGTTTGCTCTTGTGTGAGTGAGTGAATGCACTTTGATGTTTCCGCATTACAAAGGCGGCACTTTAATGGCCCCTCGCATGCTCGCCGTATATCAAACGAGAGGAAAGCTTGACAGCAGCTCAAAGCTTTAACACGCATACGCCCCGTGGCGGGCCATCTTACAGAAAAGGTAAGGCAAAATATAGACAGCTAAAAAATATATAGATGGGGAGGATACCAAGATGCCTAGATGAATAGAGAGATGCTTAGAGAATGGAGAGATCTAAGAAGTTATGAAGGAATAAGTGCATGAAGGAAAGATATAGTATAATGCAAAGATATGGCATATGATGTAGTTACTTGGAGATACAATAACTTTCAGGGAAGATATGGAGAGAACACATCTGGAGCTGCTAAGAGGTTACAGCAAGGTAAGCAGAAATCGATACGAAACATTAATAGATTCCTTTGGTTTTATCTAACATCTAAGAGCCACATCGATGCGCAGCCTTTCCACTTATCCTTGGCCACATCTGCCCCTAAAATGACTCGATCGAAGAGGCCACTAAATTGATTAACAGTAGCCCCATGCCACAAGCCTTAGCCGCAGAGTGAAAAAAAGAGACAACAGTTCAAGCTGTCAACGCTTCAGCCCTTCCCGGAATGCCTTCCATTTACATGCCATAATTTTCAAATGTCACCCGTTTACAAAAGCCTTGACCATTTGATTTCGACCGCCTTTGGGCAGTAGTAGAGTTTTGCCTTCACTCGCATTGTTTGGATCGGAACAGGTTGAACCTCGGGCATCGGGCATCGGGCATCGGGCCTGGGGCACCGCCACCGCCAGCAGACTACCTGCAACGCGAACCCTAACTGAACTCATCCTTTTCATTTCTTTCTTTGTTCGATCCATAGACCAGCGATATAATATTTATTTGGATCTTTATTGAGCTGCAACCTGTCGTTGGGTCTTGGGTCCCTCTCGCTCTCTCTCTCACACTCTCTGTCTCTCGGGCTCTACCCATTTTGCTGGCAGATTTATGTGCTGCTCCTCCACTAAGATATCATCCAAAGATACCATCGAAGGGCTGGCTGCCCAAAAGAACAGCCAAAAGAACTCTCTCACTGTCTTTGATCGTTGAAAATTTCAGGGTAATTTGTTGGGTCTGCTCTTTCTGTAGCCCAAAAACTGTTGGTGGCATGTTCGTTGGACTGCCGCTGCTACCTATCGCGCGTGTTATGAAGATGTTAACCCCTGGACTATGTCTTAATTGTCAGGGGGTTAGAGCCAGTGCCACAGTGCCTTTTGAGCGAATGTATGTCTGTTTGCATAGTTCCTATCCTGTGCCAGTTTGCTCAAGTTTTATGACCGCTTTGCTAACATGTGCCAGGGGATATCATTTTGTGGTAGTAAAACGACAGTCGAATGCGTTCTCAAACTCCATAAATCATCGGTACATGGCCGGCATGGAATTTATGTTAAATGTGCTCTGGGGGGACATATTCTGGATGAACATTTATTTGCTGGTTTGCCCCCAAACCCACCCACACCCAATTGCAAAACTCAATTTTCATTGCTTTTTTTTCTTTTTTCTCCTTATACATTATAGTATATATATATATGTATATATATATTTGTAATAACTCTCTAGTGTATATATAAATTAAAATAAATAAATACATTTTTTTGGTTTGTGATTTTTTTTTTGTTGGTTTTCTTGTTGTTTTTTTGTTGTTGTTGTTGTTTAATAATAGTTATCATTAGCATCATCATCATCAATGATCATCATTATCGTTATCATTAGAATAATCCTTGTCGGTAAAAACTCCGCTCATTTTTGTCTGTCTTTATATCTCATTGCATGCTCGGGTTGTTCGAGTTGTTCTGGTTGTTGTCGCAGTTGTTGCAGTTTGTCGTGTTGTATATAATTAGTTTTACGGTTTTAGTAGATCGGATTGACTTATCATGATGCGCAGTAATAATAATAATATTCATAATAATAATAATAATGATAATAGCAATAATAATATACTGTATAACATACTCTATTTTTAAGTTACCTTTCGGTCTGCCCATAGGTTCATTCCCATCATTCCCATCTTCCTCACACTACTACCCAATCCCAATCATCCTTCGTAACATTCCCCTATCCTCAACATGCTTTACTCGTTCAACATTTTTTGTGATTTTTTTTCTTACTTTTTCTTTCTATAACAAACAGAGCAACAAACAAAGAAATGCACAACAGGAGCAAATGTTCGATATTTCAGGATACTTTTGATATTCTTTCTACCCATGTTCACTTCCTCTTGCGCTCTCTCTACTCTCCTTGGGGGGACTACTAGGCCAACAAAGCGTTTTCTGTGTTCATATGTGGTACAATACGATTTTGTGCTTATTGATATTCCATTTGTTTTGTTTTGTTTGCTTTTGGTTTTTTGTTTTTTTGTTTTTGTTTCGGTTTCAGTTTCGATTTCGATTTCGATTTCGTGTTTGGTTTTTAATTCGAATCTTGAGCAGTTTTTTTTTGTTCACTAACTTATTTGGTACTTTGTTTGTTTGTATCTTGTATCTTGTATGTTTTTTGTATTGCAAAGTTGTATTGGTTATAATGCTATATATGTATAGTATGTATGTATATGATTTATCAAGCTGAGTTACTAATGCACCTTATTGTGAAAGCTATTCATACTCGTACTCGTACTTAGGTTAATGTTAAATGGTTCATGGTTCATGGTACATCCACCCCCACCTAACTATCCAGCACCACCACCACCAACCACCTCTATCTGCCAACGCTGGCCGCGTACCCGCGTGGTCTGTGGCCGCCTGTGGTCCGTTTTCCGTGGTTCTCCGTCATAAGAGTTTTACTTTCTATGGCCACTACGTGATTGGAAATAATAAATGATCAATTGCTTTCGACCAATACGGATTACCGCCCCCTAACCTATATATATATATATATACTTAATACCTAGATGTAGATATATATATATGTATACTATATACTATATATACTCGTAGTCGCACTTTAGATTGTGGTGTGTAAATTATTGTTATGTACATTTAGACATACGATACAGTTCTAGTAGAAGTTTCCGACTGAGTGTGGGAGAGAGAATAGTTCTGCCATTGCTTTTCGAGTTTCGTTGTACAAAAGCAAATCATAAATCCTTAAAGTAGGTAGATAGATAGATATAGAGTGTGTGTGTATCGGAGCGATCAGATCAGGCTTGG